CACCGTATCCCCCTCGGCCGGCCCTCTCCCAGACTGGAGAGTCCCAGTCAGCCAGGTTTGTCCCTTACCGCTCTTCTCTGAACCTCTGCCAGTTTTCTTCCAACAGACCATGTCGATATGCCATAAATTTCAGCAATACATAATGATCATTCTTGCTTTGTTCTCCTTCCTCATAACTCCTCATCTTTGTTTAGTCACACAGAAACTTACCCACTTCTCCCACTGCTGCTTAGTTCCCTTACCTGTCTTTGATGAATAATCTTATCAAATACATCTGCAGACCAAGCTCCTGAGTTTTCAGTCAGCAAGTCCCCAGGTGTGTCTTCATGCTAGAGTACTGCCCAGCTCCTACTTCTCTTATCCATCGCCTCTCATAAGCACTGCAACCAGTGGTCTTAATAATTTGGTCGTATCTCACCCTACCAATTTCAACAGTGATAATTATGCCAAGTATTTCCTCACCAAGTATACTCTCCCAAATATTTTCCAACACATCCACTTTCTTACCCCAATTCCTAACACCAGAATAAACCAGGTGGGGAATTGGCTCTCTTCCCCTTCTCGGTCCCATGCTTTCAAAGTATTTAAAACAGGCAGGGGGTGAGCTGAACAGCATTTGCCTCTCTCCCCACCTGTTAGCTAGACACCTTCTGATGGCTCTCGCTGTCTGCTCTTGGAGCCTTCTGCAGGCACATTGGTCATCTCTGGGATGCAGGAGGCATCAAAGCAGAAGAGAGGCTGGGCACGAGGAGGAACCAACCATCCTGCTCAGCTGCTTTCCTGGAGATGTCCAAGCCTAATTTTATACATACGCTTCTAAGAGATCCCATTAGTGGAACTAAACACTGCAGTCACATGCCACCCTGCTCCGCGCTCTTCCCTCCACCGCCCATGTGAAGACACAGAGCCATGTTAGCATGAGCAGGGGGCCCATCCTCGCCGGCACTCCCTCTCCAGGCAGACATCCCAGCTGTGGCTCTGATCAGCTGCATCCCACCAGCATCAGGGGAGCAGAGCCGTGTTCCTCTCCCTGCCCACCCAGAGCCATACCAGGATCAACGAGTTGGTGCTTCGCCAGCGCCTGAAAGATGCAGCATGCTGCACAAGGGCTAACCTCATGCACGGCAGAGCCCACGGGCCCTTTGCACCCTGCGCTCATCTCGCACCCTTCATCAGGGCTTCTACCTTTAGGCTGGGCCGGTCAGTGAGACAGAAACCCCGAGGGCTCCCCCACACGCTGCCAGGCAGGGAGGAGGAGACCATGTTCAGAGATGACGCTACTCCCCAGGAAGACTGCCAGCTCTTCTTACAGGCCAGGAAACCCTGCTGCCTCCAATTTGTCAAATACCATCTTCAGTCAAGTTCTGCTAAATACCCTCACTCCACGTGAGGCACGGTACCTCCAGCCAGGTTTCAGAGACTCCCCTGAGCTAACGGACTCCACTCCTCTGTCCAAGCTGGCAGAGATAAGCTACAAAGCTGCTTCTCTGTCCTGTCCCATTTTCCCTCTGCTCTTCTCCCACAGGGTCATCCTGCTGCAGCATGGTCAGCAAAACCAATGGAGTCAAACACCAAACAGCAGTTTCCAAAGCTCTGCTCAAGCTGCTGGATGCTGACGTCTCTCCCTCACCCCACCAGCTGCTGAGGACACCCAGTTGCTAAACTAATTCTCCCTGAAAACTACCTGACTTGGGCCAAGGATGGGGGCCAAGAATTTCCTGGGGAGCCCACAGCTTCCCCAGGCTGCCTCTCTGCCACCCCAACTCCTCCTCCCCTCGCCCGCAGCACCAGGACTCTGTCCCGTGATCTTGCCTGCCAGGGAGACCTGCCCAGACATTACTGCTTCATGTGTCCATAAGGAGAGTGATAAAAAGCTTGCTGCGTCCTCTTAAGTTACTCAACTAAAATGACAAGTGATTAGAGGGATCGAAGCCAGTTGGGAAATGAGAGGCCACCACCTCTGGATGGGCATGCTGAGAAGGAAAGTAGAAAGGTCCGAGTCCTTGTCCTCCTCCCTCCTCCTAGCACTGCTCTGCAAGTCCCAAGACCATTTCATGCTGGCACTGTCCTCATCCTGGCAGCTCCTCCTAAGCCTGAACCCTGCTTGTCCTCTCTCTTTGTAACCTTCCCATCACTTCTCCCTTGCAGAACCATTGCAATGCATCAAGCCCTCCTCGAGCTCTTTGGGCCTGGCCACACCGCATTAAAATGGGATTTATGAGCCTCAAGCACAGACAAGAGTTATGCAGTCTGCACTTCTGCATGCTGCATACCAAGTCCCCAGCTGGTTTAAATCAGATTAACTCCACTGATGTAAGACATTTAAGGCAAGAGAGTTCCATGATTTACACCAGCTAAGAAGCTGTTATATTATAGTTTGGCAGCTGCAGGTTTTAGATCTCAAGTTTTTTGGGCAAGGATCCCAAGCAACAGTGAAAGACAGAGCAGCCGAGTGGCAAAACCCATTTATTCTCAGCGCAATATGCACGCAGCCAGCACGTGTTCCACAAAAGTCTTTTTTTTAAAAAAACCAACAACCCTGATGTTCAGTTTTCAGTGCCATTGCTCTGCAAAGTCAGTGCCCCATCACAGCCCTGAGGCTCCAAACAAATCACTAAGTCATGATACTACGGAAATGCCTCCCTTCAAAAAATGATAAATTTGGGAAACTAAAGCCAGGCAACTTTAATGCAAAGGTTGCTAGCTATTGAAGATAACCTATAGACTGATTAATACAAACGCAATCAAACACACAAGAGAGTTTAATATTCAGATCAGGGCCTTCATTTCTGCCGGAGGATGCTTAAGCTTCCAATCAAACCTGGCTTCCACAAAAAAGGTGCTAACGCTACGGAGCCAGATGTGCCTGCAGAGGTGCACAAAAAGATGCAGCACTCAGGGCAGGTGAAATGGCACAGAAATCCACCAGGAAAAATGCTAACACTGCCTGAAAAGGAAGGTTTAGTCCTTTCTCCTCCAACTTAGCAAAGCAGCTTCTTCATACCAGTAGCGGCTGGTTTGTCAGAGCCAGGAGAGCGGCAGGAGCCCAGTGCCATTCCCATGCCACCCAGAAGCCTGCAAGCGGGCAGCAGACCTGCAGCCTTCCCTGCTGCCTCCTGTCCAGTGCCGGCTGTGCAGGGAAACGGGAGGGACCGGGGAGCCCCGCCAGCCCCATAAATCACCAGGCGCCCAGCGCAGTAAATCTGACCTCCCTTGCAAGGGAAATATAAATCAGCTTTACTAGCAGCTTCTGAAACAAAAACTAAGCTCATGAAACTGTAAAAATGCCTCTTTAAACATCCTGTGCCCCGAACAGACCACTGAAAGCCCCGTCAGGCTGAGGGAGAGCAAACAAGCTTTCCAAGAGACAAGACAACTCGTGGGTTGACAAACCGAGAAAAGGCATTTCAGACTGAGCAGCTTCTTGCTGGCAGGCGGCACGACATGGATATCTTTAGCACATGGTAAAGACAGGGTAGGGAATCGGGAGGAATGAATTAGCCAGCATTAATACCGTCGTTTGTATTCAGCGTACTTCAAAGCACTCGCAATGCAGACATCACCAGACACGCAAAAAAATTGCCCAAGTCTAACAGAGACCAAAGTACAGCACATTCGCTGGAGCCCCCAGAGTAATGATTGGCAGGGGTTGGACGGGACCCTCGGGGCCACCTCACCCCACAGCCCCCGGGGGGATGAAGCAGGCCACCTTCCCGCCTGCTCTTCCCTAACGCCTGCCTGCGCAAATTAAACACTACTGCCCTGCTCTTTAATGAGCTAGCATGGGACGGCTGTGCCAGGACGACAAGGGCAAGCCCAGAGGAAGCCTCACGAACCAGTGCAGAGGCAGGAGTTACTGGGCAGAGCCAAACTGGGACAGGGCTCAGCAGGGGCGCAGGGGAGTCGTAGCCGCCCACGTCCCAGCAAGAAAGAGCAAGACTGCGCCTGAGATCCGTGGCAGGAAGTCTGCACGGAATATTATGGCTGGGCAGAGGCTCCAGATGCCGAGAAAGCTGCTGGTGCCGGCGGTGCTAGCCATGGGAACAGCTATTTCAGCAACACACGCCTCTGGGGACGGGCCACCACCGTGTGCCATCCACAAACAGCTTTGAGGCTGGTCACCTCCTCCTGGGGCAGCTGTATGGCCAGGCAGGACCCCGGTGCTCTCTGCCACCACTGCCAGGGCACAGGGAGGGCACGTGGCCAGCCCGGGAAGGGACGATGCCATCACCGGTGCGTCGGGCCAGCCAGGCAGCTGGCAGGGACTGCCCACGGAAAGGACAGGCGGGGCTGGGGGAGCTCCAGGGAAGGGGTTTGGAGCCCAGGGATGCAACATTCCTCCTCACGCAACCGGTCCAAGGCTAGAGAGCATGCGGGTCCCAGGAGAAGCACCCGCGTGCAGCCGGGGAAGGAAAACATGGCATCAACTGAACCAAGCCCCTTCTGCCAGCTGCCTTGTTTTCCTGCAGATTTATTGTTGTTCCTGCACTCAATAACAGCAGAGCAAAGGCACAATAAGGAAACTTAAGTGATCAGTGGCTGCTAATCAGCAAAGCTTTCCAAGAGCTCACCGAAGCCAAGAGGAAAGGCTCGACAACCGCTCTCTGCTGCTGCTTGTTCAGCGCGCAGCCGCACCACAAGCGTGCGGCACCTCTTTCTGCTGACATCTCAAGGGGAAGGGGGGCTGTAAACACACACAGAGCAAGCACGCTTGCTCCTGTCTCACCTATCCTACCATCTCAGGGCACAAGGGCAGGGCCAGCTGCTGCGCGGCATGGATAACCTCCTGCCGCTCACGCCAGTGGAGACTTGGATGTGGGCGGTCTTGGACCGAAGGGTCCTTCACTCTGCAGGAAGGAGCAGAACCCCAGGAGCCCACCCCAAGAGTTTATTAACTTTCCTGGCATTTCAAATAGTACTGGATAACATCTCCGTGCAGAAGAAAAAAGAAAGCCCGTGTTGCCAGAGGCTGCTGCTGCGGCAGCTGAGCAGAGGCTTACCTTTGGGCATGATGCGATGCATTGCAACTGACAAGAAGAAGATCGAGTCGCTGTAGTAGGTCCCTGATCCAGCGCTGAAGTGTTTCTGCATGGCTTCAACGATTGGAAACAGCTTTTCTGTCAGCTCATTCACATCATGGACTATTACCTGGGAGAGACACCAGAAACACCACTCAGCTGCTGCCTCTGGGGACTGGCCCAGCGCTGGCAGCCTTTGCTCAGCCTGCACCGACATGGGGCGATGGGGGGAAGGTTGTTAAAGCCCAAATACTGGTGGTGGCACTGCAGCTGCAAAAAGGGGCCCAACTGCCCCGGCCCCTGCACGTCCCCCTGCCACGAGAGCCAGCTAAGCGCGGCAGGGAAAGGAGGGAAGGATTTTTACAGCCATTTCATAACCGTGAGATGGGCAGACTCGAATCCACTCACACAATCAAGCATGCTGTATGTTTAGTGGGTTTTTTTCTGGTCTGTTCCCACTGCCTAATGCAACCGCATATCTGGTCGCCCATATGGAGTCCATCAGAAGAGGTGACGGTTCGCTCCAGGCTCTGGCATCCTGCCGTTTTGAGGCAAGCCAGACCACGTCACTTACCCTGAGGACCAAAACTTGCTCCCTGCTCCAGAGGCAGGCTGCGACAGGGCCAGGGACGCAGCCCGGATTTCCTGAACCTTAGCCCGGCATGGAGGCAAGCTCTGCAGCACGTCCTGCCGGGGCTGGAGGGGGAAAGGGAGGATGGGCCACTGCATGCCAATGAAAATCCAAACATCAGGAGTTACAGCAGAGCCGAGCAACTTCTCTAGATGGATCACAGCCCGCTTGTGCTGGAGCTTTGCTCGTGCTCAGCCAGCAATGCTCTGCGCGTCTCAGCCCTGCTGGAGCCCACGCACCAGCACTGGCCCTGGCACACCTGTGCAGGTCATGGCTATGGGACAGTGTGCTGGTTTTGGCTGGGATAGAGTTAATTTTCTTCACAGTAGCTAGTGTGGGGCTATGATTCGGATTTGTGCTGATAACACCGTTGATAACAGAGGGATGCTTTCATTATTGCTGAGCAGTGCTCACACAGAGCCAAGGCCTTTTCTGCTTCTCCCCCCACCCCACCAGCGAGCAGGCTGGGGGGGCACAAGGAGTTGGGAGGGGACACAGCCGGGACAGCGGACCCTGACTGACCCAAGGCGTAGTCCAGACCGTATGGCGTCATGTTCAGCATATAAAGCTGGGGGAAGAAGGAGGAAGGGGGGGACATCTGGAGTTACAGCATTTGTCTTCCCAAGTCACCGTTACGGGTGACGGAGCCCTGCTTTCCTGGAGATGGCTGAACACCTGCCTGCCCATGGGAAGTGGGGAATGAATTCCTTGGTTTGCTTTGCTTGTGTGTGCACGGCTTGTGCTTTACCTATGAAACTGTCTTTATCTCAACCCATGAGTTTTCTCACTTTTACTCTTTCAATTCTCCCCCCATCCTATCGGGGGAGTGAGCGAGCGGCTGTGTGGGTCTCAGTTGCCAGCTGGGGTTAAACCGTGACAGCCAGAAACAGGAGCAACTGCAAATGTACCTTGTCAGCTACTGAAATTTTACAAGCTTATAATTAATTTTGGTCAAAGTCCGATGAACAGGAACTTTCATGCAGCCTGATGCTCATTATACACACAGAAGAATGCAGGTCACTGAATCACGCAAGATAACCAGAGGGATTTTCAGGGCAATTAAGAGAGACGAGGGACACGACCCTGGTGCGGATAAGGGGGAGTGCAAGAACTCGAGTGTGGAGACTCGAGGTCGCGCTGCCTTCTTCAGGCCAGGGAAAGCAGGAAGAACCCCACAGGAACTGAAGGCCAGCAAGGACACAACTTTGCAGCAGTACTTGAATTTTGGAAAGGGGAGCCTATATCCCTTGTTTGAGGGATACCGAGACACTTCCCCAAGCTGGCCCTGCCTTCAGCAGGGAACTCAACCCCACAGTCTCTGTAGGTCCATTCCAAACTAAACTAATCAAGGGTTCTGCAGTTTCTCTCCTTTTCCCTACTAAAACTTCATCTGCTTAACAGCAAGGAGCCCTGCACTACACACTTAAACATGCAGGACAGATCATTTGTTCGTTTGTTTGTTTAAGAAAAAACAACCCTAAACCAAGTCAAGTGCTTCAAAGGGAAAAGCAGTTCTGGAGCCCGAGCTGGTGCAATGACCGTCCTCTCCATGGGATGCACAAGGGCCTGCTTTGACACCCAGCAAGGCTGGCACAGAGATGGAGGCAGTGAGCAGTCTGGAGCTTCTTCCTCCCACACCTTCTTGCAGAAAACGCTACCGAGATCAAAGTGCTCTCGCATCAGAGCAGAGCTTGCCGGAGGCGGGGAGCCGCTCGTGGGACCTGCAGTACACTGAACGAGGCAAGGTGACGGGCCCCTCCTGACCGCCGGCACAACGGGCGAGCCCACAGCGGGGTACCGCTGGAGGACAGCCACAGCAAAGTCCCCGCGACTCCCCTCCTGGGGAGACCACCCCAAACACCCACCCTCAGCCACTGGCCCTTGCTGTCAGACGGGTGCCGTCCGAGAGCCCTGGTGCGGGCTCCGCGGCCATGTCCCTCGGCAGGGCGGCCGGCGTCCCGGCTGCTGGGCTCAGGGCCAAGCGCCTGCAGGAGGACGGCAGGAAAAACACAGAACAACATGTACCAGGAACGTGCATGAGGAGAGCTCATCAGCAGCCACACCTGGCTTTGGATAGCACAGCATATTCCCCAAGACACCGCAGGGGAGGAAACGCCGTTACCGGTAACGTTACGGCAGCGCCTCGCTCCAGCCCTGCCTAGCCGTGCGGCCGGCTTCGCCGTCGCGGTTAGCACCGGCAGCGCTGCAGGAACAGGCAGGAGAGCAGCACGGCTGCGGGGAGCAGATCGGCAGCACCAAGCGCTGCTGCCGGCAGCGATCCCAGGTGACAAAACAGAGCAAAACACCACTACTCTCCAGGTGCAAAGGCACCACCACCACTGGGATGCGCGACGCTCTGCTCCCAGCCCAGCGCGGTAGGGGCAGCTTCGGGGTCTGGCTGGACTGGAGAAGCACGAAGGAGAAATACAGCACCTGTAACCACCCTTCTCTGCATCCGGCAAAGGCAGCCTGAGGTCTGCACAGCACATGGGAAACAGCTGAGCAGGGGGAAAAATAAGTCAAACCAATTCCAGTCACCTTTGAAATGAGCAGAGTGCCAAGCACCAGTGGACAAAAATCATGGGAAAAATACTCCTGAAACTCCAGACGCAGCATCATCCGCCTTCCCTCCCCGGGGCCAAAGAAAACAGGAAAAATTGTGTCTTTTGCCCACCCTTTGATTAGGCACTTCTGCAAAGCAAACCCCTGAGCAGCTGAACCTTCCTTCCGCAGCCACAGGCCGGCCAGTCTCTCCAGGACCGCAAGGGCTTCTCCTCTCCCCACTGCTGACTTTAGCACAGCTTGTTGATCCGCTGCTAATTTTGTGCTTCGTTATTTATTTGTGTAGCAGCTTTCAGTAAATCCCTGTAGCTAAATCCGACCACATTTGCTGAGAACATTAAGAAAAGTAAGTTCTAGGGGTTTCCTGTGCAAGCAGTTTTATAAGCACGTGTCCCGCGCTGAGAAAAGACCCTTTCAACTGATTCACTAGGAAAAAACAACCCACGTTTCGTTTGTCTTTAACTCTCCCTCCTTCTCATGCCAGGTATCTTTGCAGCTCTCTTGTAAGCGCTGGGTCACGGCAGCTCAGTTAAATTCAGCCCAGCACGTCTTCGCACAGCACCAGACCCGCAGAGGAGTCAGCGTTTGGCAGCATCCTCCGCGGGGCTGATCTAAACAAGCAACCAGGAAGAGCAACGAGCAGAACGCGCAGTTAATTTTATTCTCAGAGGGGAACGGAATAAATAAGCGATATGAATCAGCACCAGGAGTCAGAGCGTGCAGCCCAGAGTTGCAGGAAACGAGGCGAGCCGGGTCTCTTTGTAAGCACAGTATCGTCTGCTGAGACATGCCCAGGCTCGCTCCGGAGCACTTCCCGCTCACCACGAAGCGGGAGAGGCTGCAGGGATCACCCTGCAACCCACGGGGCAGGACACGCTCCCTGCGACTGCGAGGATAAAAGCCCTGGTAAAAGCCCAGCAGAACCTCCGGGAGCCGAGGCTCGGAGGACGAGGCGTGGGCAGGAAGGCCGGGTCCTGGCTGGGTGCCGGCGTGCGGCGAGTCCTTCCTCCGTCCCCGCCGCTCACGGGTGCTTCCCGGCCAACTTCCTCCGTCCCCGCCGCTCTCCACCCCACGCCAAAAAGCCACGCAGGCACCACAGCGCAGAGCACCAGCTCCATCTGCCGCTCGCCCTCGGCACGCTGCGCTCCCAGCTCCACAGCTGGGGCACATCTGTAAAGGCACCGTGGGAGCGGTGATGCCACGTCACGACTGCCCCCACGCCTGGGGCAGCCCGGGTCCGCTCTGCCCTGCGCGGCAGGGAGGGTCCTGTGCCTGAGCTGCTCCCACGCACCCCACCGCGGTGCATCCCAAAGCCCCTCTGCTCTCACCCTCCGCACGCTGCCCTGCCTGGCAGGCCGCAGCCGGCTGCTTCAGCCTCCAGGAGATCTTGAAAGTTTCTGAACTTGCTTAGGGAGAGACGAGAGCTGGCCCATGACCTTCCCCAAGGGTTAGGATCTAGGTCTGATTCCTGGGCTTCACTCTAACAGAGGACCCAACCGATCCCAGCTCTGCTGGGAGGGGAGGGCAAGGACAGCTCCAAAAGCAGAGCCTGAATCACATCCTCACAAAGAAAAAGTAAAGTTCAAGGTTTTTATCAATCCTGCCTCAGCAGCTCACGCTGCCCTCTGAGCACTTCATCAAGCCTCATCTCTGGGCCTGCTCCAGGAAAACAGCAGAAGAACCAGGAGAGCGTTCTGGGGACACCAAGAGAACCAGGAAAGGAGAGGTCTCAGGATGAAGAGGGGTTACTGCTGGGGCTACCTGAGTATCAGGATCAACTGCCTTCAACATTTTAGCAGCACCAAAAGTCCAAGTTAGGGTGATGTTTCTTGCTGATAAAGAGGAGGAATAGGGTAGGCTACAGCAAGAATAAAGAGGTGCTGTCACCTGCTGGCGTACCAGAAACCGGTGCAGTATTAGGGGCGAGGCTGTACACTTGAGGAGCAGGCAACAGCCTCTGCTCTGTACTAGGAACTCTACCTAAAAACAGGAAAGTGGATAGATCTGAAGTCTACTGCCAACCACAGGCCAGCTAATGAAACCAGGATACGTCAGGCTCTGCCAGGAGAGAGGAAAGAAGCTGCCCCACTGAGTAGATCCCAGGCGAGATCTCACCTGAGCCCACCAGACCACGCTGCTTGCTTACACCCAAAAGATCAGTTCTGGCACAGACCTACTCACCAAGCCATGAGCCAGGCTTTACTACGAGTCCACAGGCACCTACAGAGAGAGGCCCATCCTGCAACAGACACATCGCCGCACGCCCCCACCTCACGCAACATTCAACTCACAAGCCTGCATCCCCCTGGAGAAGCAATGCCGGCAAGGCCACCCGCAGAAGAATTTGGTTTCTGAGAAGAGCAGATGGCAATAAGGCAGCCGCACGCAGAGAGGGGTGTGTGCAAGGGATCTGCATGCCGTGGTGGCCCGGGGGTCCTCCCACTCCAGGGGACATGGTACCACAAACCGGAGCTGGGCTGACGCTCTGCACATTTGCCCTGCGCCGTCATGGGGCACGGCTGGTCCACCCCGCTGCAGCAGGGAGGAATGCTCCTGAAGGTAGCTGTGCAGACCCCCTCCAGAGAGCTGAGCACTGCCGGCAGGGTGCAGGTTACCCCCCACTGACGGATACGTGACCTGACTGAGCGCCAGCACTAGTAAAGCGCTGTTTAAGGAGAAGGAGAGGTGGGATTATTTACCAGCAAATGATCTGTATAAACAATGTTGAGGTTACGTCTCAGCAGAGTTCAGCTAATATTAAACACCTGAAAGATGAGAAATGGAAAGTTACAGCAGAAGCAGAGGACGCTTCCAGGCAATGCTCTGCAGCAGCGCCTCAGGACAGGAGAGTCAAGTTACCCGGAGCCTCTGAACTTGATGCTCCTTCAGTTTTCAGACACTGTGTTTAATGTGAAGGAAAGCCTGACTGTGCATGGACTGCACGGACTACGTTTTTGGGAGGCGGAACCGTTTCTCTGGCAGGTAGCCGGGTGAACGTTTGCACGTGGAAGCACTCTGCCCTTTGCAGGCTTTCCGTTCCCCTTTTCAAGAGCCGCGAGCAGCAGGGCGACAGCCTTTTCTGATCACGGTCCCGCGGGACCACTTGGGAAGTGGGGGCACGCCTGGCCCCTGCGCTGAGAGGCTTAACCGGGGCTAACAGCAGGGTCTCTAGAAGAGGAGCAGCACTGCTCAGAGCAACCGCTCTTCTCCCGCAGAAGTGGCTTGCCAGAGGTCTCCCCAGGCCACGCAGCCACCCAGCCCCGGGCGAGGGAATCGCCGAGCCGCACCGGGACACCTCCCGGCAGGCAGCAGCAGCAGCAGGGAGCGCAGGGTCGCGGCTCGCACAGAACGAGCCCTCCAGCAGACCGGAGAGGCCGGGGAGCGGCGCAGC